AACTATATATATATGATTATATATGAGCAATTTTTCTCATTTCTTCAAACTTTATTTTTTGTAAAAAAAACAGTGTAAAAATTATTCTTTTAATTATTTCTTGTTTTTTTTATTATTATCAATTTTGTATTAAAGAATAATTTTACAAAGGAAAGAAACATATATAGACATATTTTGCATATAATTGTATATAATTATATGTGGAACTTTTTTTTCCGGGTAATTCTATTGAGGAATATCCAACAAAATCATTCTTTCCGTATGCCACTCTCTTAGATACTCCTGTCAAAGTACGCTTTTATCTTTGCTAATAAAATTGTACCTCGCAACAAATATATTTTATCTTCAATAGATAAATTTTAGCAATGACAGCAAAGTTCCAATTAACTAATTTAGCTGATAATGCTAAGTCATTTTTTTGCGTGTAGAAGCACGGATCTAAATCGGAATTTATCACGAGCTGGGGTAACGAGCTGGGGTGCCCCAGCTAATTTTATTAATATTATTATTAATGAAATTAATAAAATTATTAAAATAAAAAAATAAAAAAATAATTTTATTAACTTTATTATAAAATTAATAAAATTATTTTATTTATTAATTTTCGTGTACTACACTAATATACGGTATCCGTAGCTTCTATACTCGTCTATCTTCTCTGACGAAAATATGCACGTTATTTATGTCCATTTTCACAGCTACACGCAGCACGCAACAATACTGAAGTTAGCCACACCAAAATTCACAGTTGTGTAAAACAAATGCACACATTCGAGTTGTGCAATAGCGCCGAGAAAAAAAAAAGTAAATCGGAATAAACCTGCACTAAAGTGAAAACCGAACGCAAACTTATTTGCCAACCCAATACTTATAATTTAAGACTAAAAAGAAATTTTTTTTCAAGCTAAATTTTGGACAGATGGGATGGCCTGCACAACAAAGAATGCCTCATACACACATATATGTATATACAGGGTGTCCCATTACTACCGCATTATCTCTTAAATACGTGTTCTTGAAATAATTTAGAGACGAAAATTCTAATACGAAAATGTTGAGGCTATAATAGTTTTTAAATTAGTAACGGTTAAAGTTCTCGAATCACAGAGCTGACATTTCGCGCGTTCAGGCATGTCGATATAACAAGTGTCGATGTGACAAGATGAATATGGTTATGAATTTATTTTGACAGCTCGTAATATTTCATTCCTGAAAATTAGTATTTTATAATATGTTTCGATATTAATTACGTTATGTACAAATAGATTCCGTATAGAAGCAGAAACGATTTCTTAATAAAAATATTTGTATAACGATAATCTCGACGTTGTTGAGAGAGCTCGCGTAATAATATCACTTGTCATATCGACAAACCTGCAGAGCGCGCAAAATGTCAGCTCTGTGATTCGAGAACTTTAACCGCTATTAATTTAAAAATTTTTATTGCCTCAATATTTTTGTATTAGGATTTTCGTATCCAAATTATTATATCTCAAGAACACGTTCTTAAGAGATAATGCGGTAGTGACGGGACACTCTGTATATTTTATTATATATATGTATATAAAATTGAATAAAATGCAATCGCAAAACTCCATGAGTTGCGCTTCGAATTGCTGCCCACATGCACCGTACTCAACCAGATTTAGCTCCCTAGTGATTTTCATGGAATTTTGCGATTGTAATTGCATTTTATTCGATTTTATTCATTTTTCGAGAAACACCAACACTTGTTTGCTTTACTCGACACAGGAGACAAACTACTATCGGCATCTGTCTGAAACTTTTTCGGTAGGCCTTTGAAGGATCAAACTTAAGAAAAATCATAGCTATTTGAGATTCCCGGTACCATCACTATGTCAGGCCGAGAACTTTTCACCTTACCCTCGTATATATGTATATAAAGTATCGACTATTAATACATTTTTTAAGAAATAATAAAATTATGCATTATAAACCTAATTAGTAATAAATATTTAGGTCAACAGATTTACAACTGTTTAATGTAATCCCTGAATTATATAATCTTAAATTTTAAATAAGTATATGGATTTAATTTAATCAATAGTAGTTTGACCTTTTTTAAAATTTTCAAAAAGGTCAAGCTACTAATTAAATTAAATACACATACTTAAAATCGAAGATCAAAAAAGTTTTTGTTCAAGCTGAATTGTGAATAGATGAGCAGGCCCACTTGATAAAAAATGCCTCATATACGTAAGCATCGTAACATATCACGTAATTCAGGGATTACATTAAAAGCTCAACATAACGATAAAGTGTACAAGAAATAAAGATTTTTTTAAATGGAAAGTACAACGAGGTTAATATGTATGAAAAAATCTAAAATTTTGTAGAACACGGTTTTTAAAACTCGATAGAGGATATCTAGATAAACAATTTATGTAATGGAGTACGAGAGCTCTTCGCTTGAGTGAACTCGCATTTTAGTATCAGAGATCGAGTATGCGTATCGATAACAATTTACCTGAAAGGTATAAACCTCTTGCTTTCACCAAAGGTTGCTCCAGATAACGAATCCAGTCCTCGACGCCCCTGTCGCAACAGATGGCCTCCACCGATATCGTTTATATTGCGGCCGCCCACACCTTGAAAATTTCAGAAAACTGCACTATGTCTACGTTAATTCTAATGGAAGACAGAACAATATTATGGAAAATTCAAGATGATTGAAGAATGGATGATTTGGGGAAAGAACAGATACACCAGTTACAATAAAATTTTATTATCTTTCCACTTACTATACTTAAGAAATATACAATAATAAGAAAAAGCAATATACGTAATTGCAATATTTGAAAAATGTCGTTTTCCTATAAAAAAGATGATTAGAAGAATATAAGATAATTAAATATTTGATGATTATTATTGATGATGATTATTAACGAGTCAATGCACTTATTTGATAGGCTGAATGTATCGCAAGTATATTTAATGATGGAATAAATTTTTTTAAAAGTTTCTTTTAAAAGTAGCAGAGAATATATTTTTATATTCTATGAGTAATACATATATATATATATTTTTTAAATTTTGAGAGAAATATAAATTACATATAAAAGATATTTAAATCTTCTCTCATTTTAATTTAAGTTATAACACATTGTAAACTATATCTATAGATCTAATGTGAATTTTTGTAACTTTTCATATTATTAATATATTTAATACGTGGGAAAATAATTTTTCTAGGATAAAGCTAAAGTTTAACTCTTTATAGTCATACCTCTTGAAAGTTCCATAATAATTACAACGGAGGCAAATGACTCTGGCGCATTTAATCGGTTGAGGGATTCACAGTTTTCGTTTTTTGAAATCAAAAAAATTACTGAACATTGTAGAAATTCAGAAACATTGTAGAATATAAAAATACAGCAGCTTTGTGAAGATTTTAATTTTAATATAGGGTAAACCTGGTATATATGCAGCGCGAGGATTTACGCCGCAGAAATGAGAAAAAATAGAAGTAAAACTAATTTTCTCGCAACCATTCTGTTACATGCTTTTATGTTATATTAGTATTGTATTGTGATTTCAGTTTTTTACTGTTAATATTTATAAAATTATTGTAAGTTAAATCGATCGGAAGAGCACACG